CACATTGGCGACCTCTGCCCTAAGACTTCAGTCCTTTCCACTTCAAGGTAACCAATCTGGTTAGCCCTGGCCACTGAAACGTCTCGAGCTCAGAGAAGTGAGCGAGCATAACTATATGTAAGCAGCAGGTGTGCCTAAGCGATAAATGTTTCAGGGGAAAAAATGCTTTTTAAGAGTGTTGGACCTCTTCCATATTTAGGAGTGACTCTGCCATTTTGTAAAACTTTGTTTTTTCCACTTATGTTTTTGCAATACTTTTTGGAGAATTCTCCCAAATACGCAGTCTTTTAAAAGGATGGCAGAAATGCTGTTCTCTCACAGTCTTTAAAAAAGATAGCAGAAACGCTATTAGTCTGCCACCCACATTAAGCAAAGCTTTCCCTCCATATTTCACTTCTGTTGTTGAAAAGGGGTTAGTGCTCATGCAATACTAAGAATAAACTCAAGGCTAAGGACCTGACCTTTGGAAAGGTCCTCATTCTCACAGTTTATCTACCAAAGGGCACTGAGGTACTTCACAACAGTCCAAATACAGATCATGTTATTGAACATGTGGAGGATGCACATAAATTTCAGTGGGCTGAAATGTGGGTAGAACTTTGGATATAGATGGAAACTGATTGAAAGGGCAAGAAGCAAGGAAATTGTGTGGGAAGTGTGAAAATTTCAGATGAGAACACAGTCTGTTCAGCTGCAGATATGCTGGCATGAAGTAATTTACCACCACCAGACATCTAATTGACTCTATAAAGTTCAAACCATGTTCTAATTTCAGGTGGATGATGCTTAGTGAAGGAAAACTTGAGATAAGATTGCAATGCATGCTACATATCTGCAATTAAATAGCAGCTTTATAAAGAACTTCCTTCCCATACCATTGCTCTGCCACCTGCCATTGCTCCCATGGTTTCAGCCACCTGATTACAAAGAGAGTAAATTTGTCTATAGTCAGTGCTGCAGGATTATTTTCCCAGGTCTTTATTCCCCTTCTTCCAATCCTATAACACTGTGCATTGTAAGAGACCAGTATTTAAAAAGAATGAACATTTTCTTTTACTTTAAAGTAAAGATTAATCGGAGCTGTGGTGACTGAAGTGGTTAAGATGCTGAACTGCAGGCTGTGGAAAGGTCAGTAGTTCAGCAGTTCGAGACCCAAGTGTGCCGCATGACGGAGTGAGCTCCCGTCTCTAGTTCCAGCTCCTGCCAACCTAGCAGTTCGAAAGCAAGAAATTGCAAGTAGATAAATAGGTACCACTTCAGTGGGAAGGTAACAGTGTTCCGTGTGCCTTGGTGTTTAGTCATGCTGGCCACATGACCACGGAAATGTCTTCGGAGAGCACTGGCTCTTCGGCTTTGAAATGGAGATGAGCACCGCAACCCTAGAGTCGGACTTGACTGGCTTTCGAGCAAGGGAACCTTTACCTTTAAAGATTCATCATAGGTGTAACAGCATTGTGATGACCCCTTATCTGGGGAGGCCTGGTTTCACTTTAAAGTGTTCTTTTTATTTTGTTCAACTGGGTATGTTAGGCTGCCACCCGGAAATTCTAGGCTTTCCAAACCTTTATACTTTCTTTTGGCTATCACTGAGTAGGTAGGTCGAGGTTTTAGGCTTTCATGAGGGTCTATGTGTTTCTTGAGAAATTATTTCTTTCAGAGCTGGCAGACTTAAATAAAAGAAGATTTATTGAAACAGTTCATAGATTAAAGTGTAGAACAATGTAACCAGTAATGTGAATAATTTCAACAATTTCGTTGTGTCTGCCACAAGATCTGCTCCCTTTCTGACAGGGATTTTTCAAGTAACTTTGTAACTCATTACTCAGGGTCATATAGGTTTCCTATTTCACTCCAGTCTGTCACTCAGACTTTTTATTTTTCTCTTTAACTTTACTTTCTTGTTTCCTTATACATTCAACTTTTCTTCATACACAGAACTTAACTCTTGTATCACACACAATACTGTCTCTCTCTCAGACTTCCGAACTAACTAACTTAACAACTTAACTGTCTTCATCAACTGTCAAACCTCTAACTGTCACTCCTGAAGGACATACACATTCATCCACTCACAAACACTTTCCAAAACCCCTCCCCCTCTCTCAATCACCAATCACACCATACTTGTCTCTTCAAGCACTCTAGTCCACCACACAGCCATGCAACCAAACTTTTAAAGAGACACACACACACATAAAACAAGGAATCATTACAAGCATATTTGTAGTATAATACACAATTACTTCTATGTTTTATAAATCCTGCAGTGGATGGCCCTCTATGCATTTTATTTCATAGGATTTTAATGCTGTATTTCCACAAACCATTATTTGTCACAATGGGAACTAACTTTAGAAATCCTCAGGCTGGCAAGCTCTTTCCCAGCTCCCCTGTGTCTTTGTCCTACTTGCTTTTTTCTCGCTGCTTTTGATACTCCTTGGGGTTTTTGTCCATGAGGGCACTGGCTAGAACAGACTTCTCTCTTTGACAACACTCCTCCTCAAAGTCTTCAGTACCCTGCATTGCTTGTTTCTGGTCATCACGCTCCTCTTTCTGTGTCTTTCTCATCTGCCCCCAACTAACTACAGAGCTGCTTCTTCAAAGGGGCTGGATGTTCACCCCAGTCACACTCTGGCTCTTCACTATTAGGGTCTCAGCCCAGGACTAGACTCTTAATTGGCATCCAGGAGGGGAAAGGGGACCAACTGGAAAATGGCACCCCAAACCTATGCTCAGTCTGGTTGCGTAGGTGAACTTTCCAGAACTGGAAGGGGAGTGGACAAGGTCAGGCAGCACATCCAGGTCATCAGGCACCAGTAACACACTGGCATTGGTAAAGCTAATTTCCCTTATTTTTCTCTCTTGCTGTGAAGGATATAAAGGATAGAAATACACCACACTGTATAATGCCAATTTAAAATTATACTATACCTATACCTACTATACCTATCAGCTTTTCAGTTAATGTATGCCCTACTCAAAACTAAGGTCCAGGAGTCCAGGCAAGGTAGTGGAGTCAACTACACTATAGCACAGAGGTTGTTCCAACATAGGCTAAGAGTGAATCGATGCCTAGGATACTCTTGCAAGGAGGTGGAGCTACAGGCCCCTCCCATCTAGGAGCAGGCTAACATTACTTAAAGTACTGTGCGCAGTTACAGCAGAAAGTATTGTAATGGGGCTGAGGTGGTTCAGGGCTTAGATAGGCTGAGATGTTGATTGGGGAGAGAGACCTTTGGTTCACCGGCAGGCTCTGGGGTGGAGGGTTCAGGGTCCAAGTCCAAATCAGAAGGCACAGGCTATATCCCAGGTTAAACAGCCTGACTCAATCTTGGGGTTCTTCCTATATATCAAAGGAGGCTCCTGGAGGTGTCTCAATGGTCTCAGCCTGCAGTGTTAGATGCCAGCCATCTACTCCTCTGAGTCTACGGCCTCTTTGACTGAGCAGGAGATGTCCATACCCTGGTCCAAGACACTATGAGAGATAAAGGACCAGGCTGAATAGAATTGTTTTATTTAATCTATTAATAAATGATACAGAACTGGTGGTGAGTAGCCATCTTTGCAGATGACGCAAAATTATTCAGGATGCTGAAAACCAAGACTAACTGTGAAGAGCTCCAAGAGGAACTCCACAAACTGGGTGAGTGGGTGACAATGTGGCAAATGAAGTTCAGTGTTGGTAAACAGAAGAAGAGGAAGAGATTTGATTTATATACTGCCCTTCACTCAGAGTCTCAGAGCATTTTACAATCTCCTTTCCTTCCTCTCCACACAGACACCCTGTGAGGTAGGTGGGGCTGAGAGAGTTCTTTGAGAACTACTCTAGCAAGAACTGCTCCACAAGAACTGTGGCTTGCCCAAGGTCACCCAGCTGGCTTCATGTGGAGAAGGGGGAATCAAACCTGGTTCTCCCAGATTAGAGTCCACACTCCTACCACTACACCAAACTGGCTCTCTGATGCACATTGGGTGATGAGCATTGGGACAAAAAAATCCCAGCTTCAAGTATAGGTTAATAGGATCACTCTGAACTTGCTGAGACTGAGAGGGGAAAAGATCTTGGGGTTGTAGTGGATAGATCAATGAAAGTGTCAATGCAGTGTGCTACAGCAGCAAAAAAAGTGAACCCTATGTTAGGGATTATTAAGAAAGGGATTGAACATAAAATAGCCAATATTATAATTTCCCTGCGTATATCTATGGTGCAGCCTCATTTGGAATACTGAGTATAGTTCTGGTCACCTTCGCTCAAAAAGGACTTCAAAGTACTGGAAAAAGTAAAGAAGAGGGCAATGAAGATGACTAGTGGGTTGGAGTACCTTCCTAATGAGGAAAGGCTGAAGAGTTTGAGACAAGGGGGGGGGATGATACAGTTTTATAAAATTATGCATGAGGTGGAGAGAGTTGTCAAAGAGTATTTTTTTCTCTCTTTCCCAAAGTACTAGAATTTGAGGGCATTCAATGAAGCTGATGGGCAGTAGATTCAGAAGGGACAAAAGGAAATACTTCTTTACACAGAGAGTGATTAAAATGTGGAATTTGTTGCCAGAGGATGTAGTGATGGCCACGGGAATAAACAGCTTCAAAAGTGGATTAGACAGATTCATGGCTACTAGGCAAGGTGATTGAGGGGAACCTCCACCTTCAGAGGCAGTCAACCTCAGCATACCAATGCCAGGAGGCAACATCAGAGAAAGGTCTTGGCCTCTATGCCCTGTTGTTGGCCTTCCAGAGGAACTGGTTGGCCACTGTGTGAGACAGGATGTTGGATTAGATGGACCACTGGTCTGATCCAGCAGGGCTGTTTTTATATATTCAATGCTGATAGATCATTGGTATGACCTGATACAGCTATCCCCATATTCTAAAGAACTTTAATAGGCCAAGATTATTATATACACCCATGTATATTATATGCCCTTTATCTTCTTGGCACATAACTTTAGACCTGTATCATCTCCCACTGTATTATTTTGAGCGGACTCTTTTTATTGTAGTCTCTTCCAGCTACAACAGAAGAGGAAAAGAAGAAGACTCTCCCAGGTGCCAAGAAGCAACCGGGGCCGGCAGTTAACTTGTCAGAGATCCAGAATATAAAGAGTGAGCTGAAATTTGTCCCCAGAGCTGAACAGTAATAGAAATGAAAAGGTAAGTCAAAGGTCTTGTTCAGCCCGTTGCTCAAGGGCAGACCCAAATGAAGATCACTGACATTAGTGGGACTCCATCAATGGATTAATGTGAAAGGCTTGTACTAGAAGGGAAAATCGGAGCAAAATTAATAATATAGGAGGTCTTCCACAAGGTTATCTGCCTTAATGCTTTTGGGAACAGAGGTTTTCCCTGCTACCTCATATTCATGTACCTTTGGAGGTTTCCTTGGCTTCTCTCTGGTCTTTCTCAAACCTGCTTTGCTCCAAGGTTTTGGGAAAGACTGCAGTAAAGCCTGGATGGCTGCTGTGTGGGTAAGTTCAGATTTTCTGGCCCACATGGCAGCCATTTTTCCTGGCCCTGTCTCCATGGCAGCCATTTCTTCCACCTGCTACCCAAGGGCTTTAAAAAATTGGTTATCTGAATTCCCATCTTTCATTTAAAAATGTAAGTCTCTAGACTCTCACTTTGTGGAGATACAAGGAAAACGAGTATCTTTGCAAGGGAAGATTATAGTTACTTGTTTAAAAAATGAAAGATGGGAATTCATAGAACCTGCTATACCTATCTTACTATGGTATATCAATATAATGATATTCTTGTGCTGATTTTTTATTAAAAATACAAAAGTGCTGGTGGCTTTGTGATTGCAAAGTAGCATAGTAGTCTCTGTTTTTCAGCTTTGCAGCTTTATAACATAAGAACATAAGAGAAGCCATATTGGATTGGGCCAATGGCCCATCCAGTCCAACAGTCTGTGTCGCACAGTGGCCAGAACCAGGTGCCATCAGGAGGTCCACCAGCAGGGCCAGAACTCCAGAAGCCCTCCCACTGTTGCCCCCTAAGCATACAGAGCATCACTGCCACTACCATAATGTTCCATCTATACCTTGTGGCTAATAGCCATTCACGGACCTCTGCTCCATATGTTTATCCAATTCCCTCTTGAAGAATTCCCACCATCACTTCTTGCAGCAGTGAATTCCACATGTTAAGTACTCTTTTGGTGAAGAAGTACTTCCTTTTATCTGTTCTAAGCTTACTGCTCATTAATTTCATAGAGTGCCCACAAGTTCTTGTATTATCAGAAAGGGAGAAAAGTACTTCTATCTCTACCTTCTTTATCCCATCCATAGTTCTGTAAACGTCTATCATGGCATTCCTCAATCATTTTCTAAATTAGAGCCCTACCCTCTTTAACTTTTTTCATAGGGACAGTGTTCCATCCCCTTAATAATTTTAGTTGCCCTTTTCTGCACTTTTTCCAATGCTATAATATCTTTTTTGAGGTTCGGTGAACAGAACTGTACACAGTATTCAAAATGAGGCCACACCATATATTTAAACAGGGGCATTATGATACTGGCCAATTTGTTTCACTCCCCTTCCTAATAATCCCTAGCATAGTATTTGCCTTTTTTATTGCAATTGCACACTGAGTCAACATTTTCAGTGAGTTATCTACCACTACGCCAACATTTCTCTCCTGGTGAGTTACTGCCAGCACGGACCCCATCAACATATATTTATAGTTAGTATTTTTGGCCCCAGTGTGCATTACTTTGCACTTGCCCATGTTGAGCCACATTTGCCATGTTGATGCCCACTTAGATCATTCTGGAGCACCTCACAGTCCTCCTTGGTTCCCACCACCCTGAACAATTTAGTGTCATCCACAAACAGCCACTTCACTGCTTACTCCCAATTCCAAATCATTAATGAACAAGTCAAAAAGTACCAAAGCTAGTACCAAGCCTTGTGGTACCCCACTGCTTACCACCCTCCACTGTGAAAACTGCCCATTTACACTCACTCTCCGTTTCCTGTTAATTAACCGGTATTTAATCCACAAGAGGACTTGTCCTCTTATCCCATGACTGCTGAGTTTACTTAGGAGCCTTTGTTGAGGAACTTTATCAAAAGCTTTCTGGAAGTCTAGGTAAACAACATCTATGTATCACCCTTGTCCACATGTCTGTTCACCCCCTCAAGGAACTCTAAAGGGTTAGTGAGACAAGATGTTGCCTTACAGAATCCATGCTGATTCTTATTCAATATCTTTTAACTGTCAATGTGCCTACTAATTCTATCTTTAATAACAGATTCCACCAATTTACCCAGTATTGGTGTTAAACTGACTGGCCTGTAATTTCCCAGATCTCCTCTGGAACCTTTTTTAAAGATGAAAGTTACCTTGGCTACCTTCCAGTGTTCGGGAATGGAGGCAGATTTTAGTGATAGATTGCATGTTTTTGTTAGGAGATCCACGCAACAACGGATAAGTCCATACATTTGTCCTCTTCGGTTCCACAGCGGTATAAGGAAATAATTGCTATTTTCTAAGATACCTAACATCAGTAAATTTGATACAAATTATTGTTGTTAAAAGTTAACTAGTTGTATTGAATGTTTAGTTTATGAAGTTTATTATGATATTGTATATAACTTTGATATATTTATATTGTTATTATATTATTTTGTTATTGTAAAACCTAATAAAAATTATTTTTTTTTTAAAAAAAGGAGATCCACAAATTCACATATGAGTTCTTTGAGAACTCTTGGATATATGCCATCTTGGCCTGGTGATTTCCCTGTTTTTAATTTGCCCATCAATCATAGGACCTCCTCTCTCATCACTTCAATCCTTCTCAGGTCTTTTGACACCCATCCTGAAATTGGTGGTTCTTGAGTGGGCAAGCACCTCCCATCTTCCACAGTGAAGACAGAGGCAAAAAATACTTCTCTGCCATTTTTTAGATTATATATTAGTATGTAACCGTGGTTTATTTTGTATATATGTGTCTTAATATGCATCCTTAAAAAGTCTTTATTAAATTACTTTTAATATTTCCCTAGAAATTTTACATTTCTGACTTTTGCCACAAAGTTCCTGTATACACGCTGGTTCACTTTGCAGTGGTAATCCAGAGCAAAGCAAGGTGAAAAGGAGAACACATAGAGACTCAGAAGAGGAGGCGCTAGTTTTTTTCAAAACCTGAAATAGCTCTGCCTGCTTTACTAGTCTCTACCTGAAAATATTTTTTGCCATTCTCTGTAAAAATAATTGACAAATAATGATAGGTATTCTAAATTAAAATCTGATTTCTTCTAATATACTATGTTTGCCCCATCTTGGACAGAACTGAGCAATATTAACATCGCACTCTTTAGAGTCCTGTAACAGATTGTAATGGTTATACAAGTCATTTGGCACAGACCAATCTTTTCATTTTATAGACAAGAAAACCAGGCCAAGAGTTAGGAGTATTCCTAATGTCAAAGATTTAAAAATGTTCCATGTATAATAAATTTTCATGTATAAGTTCTCACACTGGCCTTAGCAATATCAAGCCACATGTTGTGCAGGATGACAATAGCTAATGTGGGAGGTTTGGTTGGTATTTTTGCCATTGCTTCTGCAATTCATAGAAATCAGATAGCACTAGTGATTCAGAGAATTTGAATTCCAGCTTTATTTTGAAAAGTACTTATGGTTGTGGTGAATTTCTTTATTTCTGCAAGCTAAAAGATAAGATTCTGAAGTCCAGTTAGGATATTCATTAGAACCTTGAAATTACTCCCATATTCAGAAACTGTATACCTTGGTTAACATTCATTTATTTTTAGCTTGAACCAATTTTAATTGGTTGAGTGGCAAAGCATCTCCTTGAAGAATAGGGATAGGATAAATATGTGTTTAGTTCCACTTTAAAATGAATAACAGCAGCTTTTAATCAACAGAAGAAATTTTCAGTTGGTGCAAATACTGCCCTGAATGCTCAAGGGTTCCCCCTAATCCATTTCCATGTGATACGCTTGTAACTCAGGGCTGTCAAGAGACCCTAAGAAAATAAATAGGATGACTTTAGTCACCCATTCTGGGCCTCAAAAAGAGACATATCACAAAAAGAGACATGCCACAGTGGCAATGCTGTGGATCCACCCTCATGCTCTGTAAGACAAATGAGTGTTGTAAAATCACATCATATGTTACAGGTAGCTTGTGTATAAATTATAACTTTGAAAGAGAAAATGTTTAATTTATATTCTGCTGTAGATCAAGGTTTTTCCTAGCTAGGGTATTTTTTTCTGCCTGAGTGAGGAGAATGGCAATTAATATGTTAATAATACTGAGGAGCCAACAGAATAAGGGAATGTATCCCCCCTCCCAGCATCAAAGAGAGTCAGACATGGCTAATTCATGTGTTACAGAGATGTGGTTTGAACAGCCATGCTTGATTTTGATCAAGACTGGCACACAGGAAGAGGGTGATTTAAGCATTTCCCCACCACCACCGTTTTCCCTGTCTGAAACAGGCCTAGGAAGCTGCTATTTACCCCACCGGGGAAGTTTAAATTAGAGAGGAATGGTTAAGTTTCCAGAAGGGTGAAACAGGAACATCTGCACAATCTTCTACAGAACCAAGAGTGACTGTTTATTTTGCGTGGGCAAGAGATGTCCTCTTCTTCCTTCCCTGATAGCTGTGATGAAATCTGATTTTGAGTTGCTGCCCAAAAGCATTTCAGCTAAAAATTTCTGGGAAGATAAGCTGGCAAGGTGAGCTGTGCACCACAGTAGCTGCTTCCATGGAAGAGTTCATCCAAGGTGCCTCATAGGTGATGGTGAGGCAGAGCATAGTTCTGCCAAATCACCACAGGATCATGCTTCATTGATGTAAAGGCTCCCATTGCTTCAATTAAAGGATCAGGTTTTTTGTGTCTTTGGAAATCTTGAGAGAAAAAAGTACAATGCACAGGAAACTTCAAGGAGAACGTAATTAGGGACTTCTGACTAAGAATATTATATGGTGCTGCTAATTCTCTGTATATGGGCATTGTGAGATCGGTTTGAACCATAGTTTTGTGTTAGAGGTGTTATGGCAACATGCACTTTTAAGAGTAGGTAATAATAAATAATACAAATAATGAACCGTACAAATTGCATAAGCTTTTCAGCACAGGGAGTCTTCCAAATACCTTCACCAAAGTACAGGTCT